GTGTTGGCCTTTGGCCAATGAGCTTCGACAATCCTTCTCTGTCGAGTGTTACATGGCCTTTGGCCAACGAGCTTCAATAATCCTTCTTTGCTGAAATTTTGTAGGAACAAAATGCAGATTAAGAACTATTTAGAGTTTGCTACCCTTATTTATTATTTATTGTTGATTTTTTAGTTTTACTAATTTTTATTGTATTTTTAGATTTATTTGGTCGGAGTAACATTATGACCTTTTTTTAGTATGACCAAAATCGGTACTTGTTCTGGATAGCATATATAGTTATATATTAATAATGTTCTAGGTTTGTTCCATAGATCTTTTCTCGATACTTAGTAGAGTTGGAATTTCTAAACATCAAGAAAATATCGTAGTATGGAACAAACTTAGAGAATTATTAATGTATATTTTTCTAGGCTCTTTGTGACAAGTACCTTGTTTTACCCAAGAATGTGAACTCCAACAAACATACTAAGTTATGAGCTTCGCCAAGAATGTGAGCTCGACAAACATACTGAGTAGTGTATAAACAAAAGAAGTGATATGATATATGTGCGACATTCAAATGAAATGGTTTATTTTCAGTACACATTAGAGTGTACAGACCTACTGAATTGAACTACGAAACTGCAGCAATTGTTGATCTTAAGTAATAATATTGAGATAAAGTAATAGTAATGTTGAAACATGTACAATTGTATGGAAAAACTGCCAGTGTTGGAAACTAAATAAATGATATGCTTTTTTTAATTGAGTCAGATTTGGTTAAAGGTTGAATTGGTTTATGTTCAATGCTGCCATGTAAAAATTCACTTCAATTGGGTGAATTCTATATAGTGCAATGTAGAATGTTAATCAAATGCAGATAGAATGAATGGATAGCATGTGTTATGTTTATTTATGTAAACTTGAAATATATGTTATTTTAGTCTCTATATTAGAAATAAGAAACAAAGGTTGAATTCAAGTAATAATGAGAAAACAAACTTTTAATGTTTATTTTTATAAAATCAAACTTCAAGCATTGATAATATTTACTTAGCTAAAATTCCAAACTTTGGTGAGCAACCATGTCATTACCATTCAAAACTTCATTGTCTACATACTACTTTAAGAATCACAATAGTATGTAAATATTGACATGAAATGTATGTAAATCTTGACATGAAATACCCATTAATGGTGTGTGTGTGTGCGCGCGCGTGTGTGTGCGTGCGTGTATATGTGTGCGCGCGTGATTTTGTCTTTTCTACTACTCAGACAATATTTATTCCTTTACGATAACCGATTACACTCCCTTATTAACCTGTTTGAACACTTGAATTATCAATATTACTTTTAACAAATGAAACTTGGTAGTTTACATTTCAATAACAACCGTATAAAATTAAAATTATCATTCATAAATAAAGAGGAAGAAATAAAAGGAAAAAGGGGCTCATGCAGATGCCACTTCTAGATTGCATGACCATTGGAGGCATTCTCATTTATCAAATTAACTAAAAAAAATCGTCATACGCATATTTCTTCTCCTAGTTAGTTATGATGGAACTAAATAAACCCATTTTATGCAATTTCATAATTATCACTTCCTAACATTGTAAAAAAATTTACACTTTAGGCTAAGGGTGTGTATAATAAATTGAATATCTATTCTTTTTTTTTTTTAATCACAATTTTTATTTGCTAATTTGTTAATTAAAAAAAAAAGGAGAATATAAAATAAAATATAAATTTATCTTCAAATAAAAAAAAATTAAATAATTTTTTTACAAAAATAATACTAACATATGCTCTAAAGACATTAATTAAAAACTAAATATAAAAATAATCTTTTAAAAACTGTATATTAATTTGAATAAAAATTACCCATTTTTAATAATTAATTTTTATTTGAGATTAAAGATAATGTATTTACATTGTCGATTTTTTATATATTTAAAATAACCTATTTATTTAATTTAAATATCAAAATAACATGTTTTTTAATTTATATTTCAAAATAGGGTAGTTTTAGAAGGAGCAAACATGCGGACGTCATTTTCTTTGGAATATATCTACCATGTCAAATCTCATGTGTCATTTGATTTGAAGCATATATGTAGCTGTAGCCAAATCAAATGACGCCTACACCATCCTTGTCCTAATTTGGAGTGCATGTGTCATATCAAATGGCGGGTCCTCCCTAAATTTTTATTTTTATTTTTTTATTTTTTTTTGTTTTATTAAGAAAATGAATTGAAAATTGGTTAAAAATTAAGGAAAAAAATGAAAAACAAATAAAAAACATTAAAAATATTATTAAAATACATTAAAGTTTACAAGAAATGAAAAAAAATCAATGTTCGACCTGATCAAAACATCCCCTGTTTCCACATTCCGACACATCAGCATGCCTCTGAGGTCTGCCATGATTTTATTGAGGTGTTTGTGGTCTTTGCGTATTGGCTTGCAGAAAAGGTATTTGTTGCGAGGGTCCCGACGTATTTGACAAATTTTCAATCATCTATCCCCGATAGCCCGTGGGTTGTTGCCAACGGCGTTGCCGTAATTTAGTTCAGTGCCCATGTTTTCAAAGTTAGAACACAATTGTTGGGTTAGTTGAGGACGGTATGGTTGACCAAATTGGTATATTGAATTATTTTGGAAACGATGCAATGACTGTTGTGTGTGTGGGGGGGGGGGGGGGGTAAGGTAGTCAAATAATGGTTGGGTATTTTGGTGGTAGGATGTATGTGTGTTCATTTGTGTGGGGTTATGGTGGACTGGGGTGGAGTCGAATGAGTCATTGGGGCTATAGGCAGATGTGCTGTCGGTGTGTGGATGTTGGCGGTAAGGGTTAGACTCTTGTTGTTGTGATTGGGTGGGTGTCATGAATGAGTTGCGGGTTTGGAAGTTTGATGGTTCAGTGTACATGGCATGTCGATGGTGTGAGATGGGTAGATATTGTTGTTGGGTGTGGTGTGAGGTTGGTTGTTGGACACTTTTTGATATCATACGTTCAAAATGAAGTTCTGTCTTACAATCTGGGCAGTTGTTCAGTGATAGTTCAATGAAATTCATTAAGGACAAAACTGTCATAGCTAACACACATGTGGTCATAGTGTTCAAACCTTTTGCATGCCTTGCTCCCATGTAATAGCAGCATGTTCAAAGGCTCGCCAAAACCCTTCAAACTTTCTGTCTGATGTTTACCACGTGATTAGTCTATGCAATGTCTACATCACTAGTTTTTAGGTAGTAGCAAATGAGGACTATTGGTCTGCATACGAAGGCGAAATTATCTGGCACAATGAAATTATCTAGAGAAAGAAAAAGGGTCACCCTAATAGCACGTGTATTCGAACGAGATGGATACGACAGACAAAATGTTCAGATTATGTAGTTCATGTCGTCAGCCCGGGTACAATCGTACAAAATATTCCAATGTTAGATCAAGCACAACATAATAATTTTAAATGTAACCTTGGCTCCTTATGTCAACAACAACTTTCATTTCACGAATATCAAAATATTCAACAACAATAAATTAAAAACAACAATTAATAATATTTAAACACTTAAAATAACAAAACAAACAAATATAACGGCTAAACAACATAATTAAGCGATTACAACCATCAAGACAATTCTCAAAGAACTATACATCAACATATGAACATCATTGTCAGTTGTAACATTCTCCCAGAAACAAACTTCACCATTTTGGTTGAACGTGGTAACAAGCCTTTAAATTCTTCTGATTTTTTCACCTTCTGGAATGTCTCCATCTAACCAGCGTACCAGACTCATATTAAGATGTTCTAACGTTAGTGTATTCCAAAGGAGAATCTTCATTGGAGGTTTGATTGGTGAGAAAATTAAATTAACATTTCTCTTGTGGATATATAGAACCTGATAGAGATATTTGTTGTAAGAAGAGGAAGAAGAGGAAGTCATTTTGACAAAGGAAAAAGGAGAAGTTGGTTCAGAGGAAAATGAAGAGAGACTGGTACAGAGAAAAATGAAGACAAGATAACTCGTATAAATAAGGGGAATGTGTAGTAATAGCCACTTGAAATGGCTGATACACAAATGGTTTTAATAAAAGAAAAAAAAAATCATACAAAAGGAGACGCCATATGAAATGATGCATGTGTACTAACATGTAAGGGTGTTGTCATTTCATATGGCTGGGTGGACACACATCAACCATTTCAAATGACGCATACTAAGAAACTTTAATGGATGTGCCATTTCATTTGGCGTATCCTTGTTCCTATAAACTCAAATTCCGTTACTTTGAATTTTTTTTATAAAAAAAAGGTTATTCTAAAAAAAAATCTACATTGTCACCCAATAGAAATTTATCAATCTATCTATTATTCAATAAAAATTTATTAATCTATCACATAATCGACGTAATTTAAAATTTAAAGTGTATTATTGAATGATTGACGTAAAATTATTTTACACGATTAATATATATATATATATATATATATATATATATATATATATATATATATATATATATATATATATATATATATATATATTTATATATATATATATATATACACACACACATATATATATATATATATATATATATATATATATATATATATATATATATATATATATATATATATATATATATATATATATATATATATATATATATATATTTAAAAAATAATTATTATTATGCATTGTATTATTTTATAATTAATTAAAGTAAAAATCATTTTTTAAAAATATCTAATATCTATGATTAATTGATGGTATGGTTAATTAATTCTATAAAATTCTTTTAAAAATGATTTTAATTTTTTAATTTAATTTTTATTTTTATTCTTTTTATATTTTTTCCTCCATAGAAGTGTTAAAGTAGATCAAGTAGCAATAGTTCTTATTCCTTCTCCCTTCTCTGCTCCACCTTCAAAAATCTCACTGAAACCACTTCTAAATTCTACTTTCAAATCCAAAACCTAATCAGAACCTCGATTTTGCAAATCAACATGGAAAGGCTTCAACGAATGTTCGCCGGTGCCGGTGGAGCCCTAGGTCATCCACCTCCAGATTCCCCAACCCTAGATTCCTCCGAGCAAGTCTACATCTCATCCCTCGCCCTTCTCAAGATGCTTAAACACGGTAAATTTCCCCTTTTTAACCTAATCAAATCATCGTCTATCCAATTTTCAAATTTAGGGTTTCATCAATTCGTTTTTATTTTGTTATATCTTGAATGTTATAGGTAGGGCTGGTGTTCCCATGGAGGTTATGGGTTTGATGCTTGGAGAGTTTGTTGATGAGTACACCGTTCGTGTTGTTGATGTGTTTGCAATGCCACAGAGTGGAACTGGTGTTAGTGTTGAAGCGGTTGATCATGTTTTTCAGACTAATATGCTTGATATGCTTAAACAAACTGGACGGTATTTTGTTTTGTTTTTGAAGTTTTTTAATTATGTGTTCTTTGTGTTTGCTAAGATTTGTGAATTTGTTTGTGTTTGTTGTTGATTGATTGTGTTTTGCAGACCTGAGATGGTTGTTGGTTGGTACCATTCACATCCTGGATTTGGATGTTGGTTGTCTGGGGTTGACATCAATACACAGCAGGTTCTACTACAGTCCTTGTGTTTTATGTCTTGTTTCTGTATCTATTAATTTAGGGCATCTTTGGATTGGTGGTATGTGATTGAATGAAATAGAGTGGAGTGATCAGTAATCAGATTCCATTGTTTGGATTTGCAAATAATGGATGGAGCGGAATGGAACATGATGGATTCTTTTCCATTCCATCCAATCCTTCAATTTTCATTCTGCCCAATTTGGGATGTATGCAACGGAATGAACTACTTAGTAATGTCCATTCCGTCAGATTAGCAAAAATATCCAAAAAATGGAATGAAATATCTGATCCATTCTGTTCCACTTCATTCCATTCTGCTCCGCTTTGTTCTAGTCCATCAAATCAATCCAAACATAGCCTTAGATTTCCCAATCCAAAGTACTTATGTGTCGAGTGATACCAGTTTTGATTTTGATGATTTTTGTAAGTTTTAACAATATGGTTTGAAAGTCGAAGGAAATACACCCATAATATACCGTACTAAAGAGAGAATGAAAAGTCATTACTGCGTACAAAAGACACATTAATATACTCTATGGAAATCTAATATGTTTAATATAAAATGTATTTATAAATTTAATATTCACCGATTTACTGTTGTACAACAAATACGCCAACTTATGTGATTCCCCTAATAATTCATTGTTTCGATAAATAATCTAATGACTCATTGATTCGACTGAGTCAATGAACAGGATTGTCTGATAAACATTGACTAATATTATATAATGAATCTAAAAGAAAGAGCAAATCAATTGACAAGTAGTCATGTTATTTGAGAATATTATTTTACTAACAGTTTCATTTATTCTCTGGTTTGCAATATATATAACCTACATGTGTGTTTTACACGCACCAAAAAGGAACCAGCCATCCCCCCTTCATTTTTAGACGATCTTAAATTGTCTTAGTTAGTGCCTCCAAAAAAGAACTCCCCATCGCCTCTACATTTTTAGATGAATTTAAATTGTCATAGTTATTGCTTCCAACAATTTAATCATGGCTCCACCCCGCCCCCTACTGCCAAGTGACAATTAATGCCTTTGTTGTAAACTTGACTTACATGCTATTGAATTTTCAAGCTAGATGCAGGGGTTTGATTACTCTTGTTTTTTAGTAGTTTTTAATTTATTGGTGCTGCTGGTTAATATAAGTAAATTGCTATTGTTCCATGCAGAGTTTTGAGGCTTTGAATCAGCGAGCTGTGGCTGTAGTTGTGGATCCAATTCAAAGTGTTAAAGGAAAAGTGGTGATTGATGCTTTTCGATTGATCAATCCTCAGACAATGATGCTTGGGCAAGAACCAAGGCAGACAACATCCAACCTGGGTCATCTGAATAAACCATCCATTCAGGTTTTCACCGAAACCCTTTTTTGTTGTTGACGTGTATGCTATTTTTGGGAAGCATTTATTTTGCACTTCTTTTACTAGTTCTGACCTATCTTTATTACCTCTCTTTAGGCTTTGATCCATGGGTTGAACCGCCATTATTATTCCATAGCTATCAATTACAGGAAAAATGAACTTGAGGAGAAAATGTTGCTTAATCTTCACAAGAAGAAATGGACCGATGGTTTGACACTTAGGCGATTTGATACACATTCCAAAACTAACGAACAGACTGTTCAGGTAATTTAAGAATACAACATGAAGGTTGACTATTGCCTATCTGATTAATCAATTAAACTTTCTGCTTAATTTTCTTATGCTAATTTTTAGATTTGAAAACTCGACCTTATATTGTTAGTAAGTTAGGGCTCTGGTTGGGTAAACAATCTGGTTAAACGCTTTTAACATAAACACTTAACCGCGAATGTATTAGTTATTTCTTTATTAAAATATTAAATATAGTCAAATGATTTTTATATAAGCTACAAGTTGTTTTAATAAGCTATCAGAGAGAAATTACGGAAATAAGCTGAAAATAGTTTATGAATGTTCTTAAGCTATTTTCATAAACTCAAACATGTTTATGCTAGTAGTTAAACTCAAACAAGCCAATCCAAACAAGCCTTGATTCTAATAGATCTCAATTAATTTGGAATGTAGGAAATGCTGAGCTTAGCTACCAAATACAACAAGGCTGTCCAAGAGGAAGATGAACTGCCCCCTGAGAAGCTTGCAATTGCAAATGTGGGTAGACAAGATGCCAAGAAGCACCTTGAAGAGCACGTCTCCAATTTGATGTCTTCTAACATTGTTCAAACTCTGGGAATGATGCTTGACACTGTTGTCTTCTAGAGTTGTTATTTTGGACCTTCTGGTTAATCTAGCATGTTAAGGAGACAAGTTATTGTTTACAATTTGGGTTTCCTAATTATTCTCAGACTATATTTGAATACAGATGTATTCTTTGGATGAGCTGAAAAGGTCAAGAAAGTAAAACATAGCACGTAGTTTCTTTGATGTTTTTCTCTTGTATTAATAGGTGTCTTTTAATTGTATTATATTGCAGGATTTTGTGTTCAGGCATGCTTTAAAATGCTTTAAAATACCGTATATGAAATACTCCCCCTCCATTCTTATTTATAAGCAAATTTTAACATTTTAGATTTATTAAGTAATTAATGTATCTAACTTATATATACTCTAAATACATTATTTATTCAATGAACTTAAAAAGTCAAATTTTGCTTGTAAAAGAGAATGGAGGGAGTACCTACCAACCTTAGATTTGTAGTCTCTTGCAACACAAGCAAGGTCTTGGAACTGGGATTTGGGGTTAGATTACTGACATAAACTGCAACAGGTGCCTTGTAATTGAAGCTGTTAGCATCAATTCTTTGACATACTGCTCAATGTCCTTAATGAAAATTGGTTGGTAATTTTATGGCCGTTCCTTCTGAGATGTGATGTATGTTACCACAGGCCAGGTTTGGTTTAAAAGAAGAGTATATACCAGGTAGTTTAATTGAAAAATACGATTTTATCCTGATATCTTGTTCTGATTTTTTTCTCCCAAATAAAGCTGCCAAAATGACGGTTTAGATGGATTGCATCTAACTCCGAAAATATTTGATATGGCCAGGAATCAAAGTGAAGGGAACCTGAGATCCAATGTAAACAATATGTCGAATGAGCTCATCCTCCCAATCCTCCCAATGCTTAGGGTGTGTTTGGTTCGGGGTAGATGGAGGGGAGGGGAGGAGAAAATTTTAATTAAATATGTTTGGTTCAAATTTTAGAAGGGGAGGGGAGGGGTGGGGTGGGGAGCAAAATCCCTCCAAAACACACTTTTTGGTTCTTTCCGAATTGGGGGGATTTGGAGGGGAGGGGAGGGAATATGATTTTTGATATTTAAAAATTATTATATTTACTAAAATATCCTCAGTTTAATTTTATTATTTCAAAACTATTTGTTATTTTTTGTGTTACTGTTTTTTCTCGATTGTTTTCATCAACTTAATATAATTTTTAAATATGATTTTTGATATTTAAAAATTATTATATTTACTAAAATATCCTCAGTTTAATTTTATTATTTCAAAACTATTTGTTATTTTTTGTGTTACTGTTTTTTCTCGATTGTTTTCATCAACTTATTATAATTGTTCTCCACCTTCAAATTATTTTATAATTTTTATAATTAATATAAATCATAATCATTATGCTTTTTTTATAAAAAAAATTATGTTTCGTTATATTCATTTTTTTCTTTTAATTTTGTTATGTATTCTATCATATTTTCTTTTATATCTAATTGTAAACCATATCATTTTATTTATTTTTGTTTATTCATTTTATTAAATATTTTGAACCATTAATATTTAGTAATAAGTTATTTTATATATTTGTTTTGTTATATAATTCATCACAATTTAAACGATGTTATTGACATATAGTTTAATTTATGTTGGAAAGTTATAAGTCGAATCGATTGTACTCAATTTTTAAACTTTATGTAAGAAATAAATATTTTTTTAATCACTCAATATTAGAAATTTTATTACCAACAAAAATACGCACGAATTTTTCACATTTTAATATCATATGACTTATATAAGATCATAAGGATAAAAATGTAAATTATTAACAAAACCCCTCCCCTCCCCTTCTGAACCAAACACATTTTTAATTAAAATCCCTCCCCTCCCCTCCTCTCTTTTGAACCAAACACATATTTGATTAAAAAATTCCTTCACCTCCCCTCCCCTCCCCTTCATTAAAATCCCTTCCTTCCCCTTCCCCTCATTTGAACCAAACAGACCCTAGTGTAATGAACAAAAACTGGTCTGATTTGGCTGGCAATCAATTCTGTGAATTTGGACATAATTAAGCTCTAAGCAGAGATGAGACTCATTCAACAAAGGGAGAACTAAAAGGAAGAAGACCCAAACCCTAGTATGAACTTAAATCATTGTTTGGGCGCCTCAATGGACTTGCAGACATAAGACCATCCAATGCTGTTAACTATAATTTTATTTGGTGTGATACGAAGATATTTGGTAATAACATTAAGAGCAAACAAGACTTTAATCTTTAAATTTTTTTTAAAGCTTCCTATATATTTTTAATACACCATGCGAGATTTCAAAAATATCCTCAGTTGCATTTCCAAAGACACACGTTCTAGACCCTGCTTTGATTTTAGTTAGATAATCTTGATTTAGTCTGAAGTGATGAATGTGATTACTGATCTAGGATTCTAGTTGATACTTCTCATTGTTGATATGTATTGTTTAACAAAAGAAAAAAACAATGTTATCTGCTGGTTGCCAATAAATACAATCCCTTCCCATTTTTGATGTTATTTTAGAAGACATCTATTGCAAATGGCTATACATTACATTTTGGTTTTTTTAGTTTCCTAAAATATATTTTTGGAAAATTTTCGGAGATATATTTTTGTAATAAATTTATTCATATAATTGAGATATGATTCAAAAACAAATGAAATATATGTATTTAGATGTGTTGGGAGATGTATCTTCAAAAATAGAAGACATTTTTAAAATTTCGCGTGATGTATTTTTAAAAAATCCTCTTATTCTTTGAAAGTATTTTTATCCGGGCCAAGGACCAAGGTCCAATGACTTGTGTTAGGAGAAGCCTCATGATCTGTGGACATGTTCTAGAGACATTCCAAATCAATGTTGACAGTCCATTGTGGATTATCAAATAACAAAGACTTGCAAGATCTTCTGACACTTGTTTCTAGGAAGTTTTCAGAATCTCTAAACTTTAAGTTTTAACTATAAAATCTAAGGAAAATCTTAGATTCAAATGCCCACACTATTGTAGTTTATAACTTCACATTTATAACCTTTATTGACTTTAAGTGTCACAATATTTGCATGTATTCTATCTACTAGAATCAATTATATAAATTTTTAATTTTGATTATAATCATCCGAAAGTTCGGAGACACCATTGTGAACCTAAGATCTCTATCAAAATATTGGCATTGTCGCACTGTATTGCAAATGAAATATTCTCAATTCAATTCCATTATAATTCTTGAACGTAGTAAAAATTTTCTTTTTTCTTGGTCATCCACATCTTGGTGGCCTCACTCAACTAACATTGCACAAAATTTGGTAAACTTGTTATCACCATTATCATTGTCTCACTAAAAAATGAAGCTCTTGAACAAAATAATGATCCTAACTTCAAAACCTTCGGAGTTCATAGAGCTTCACCCTCATCTGTGTTTAACACGATCTTCATTCTTTATATTCACGACACTCGTGAATTGTTTAACAAATTTTTCAAACAAAAATATTGGCAATCCTTCAAAGCCACGTTTTTGTTTTTGTGTTTGATCAATAAAGTATGGTTAAAATCTTTCATCTTAAAGACTTCAAAAGGTTTCTAAGAAGGAACTATCACACATTTTTTGAACTAAAGATTCAATCAAAAGAGTAGAGAATAAAGCCAAGTACCAGAAGCATAAAGAATTGCGGCTTAATGTTGTTCTTGAAGCACCAGGTGATGCCATAAAAAAAATGTAATATCCTATATTATTGAGTTTTGAATAACTGGATGTGCAATATCCCAAAACCTTGCTTTGATAGAAATGTGTTGTCCGGAGAGTGATTAACCATGTGACTTTTAATTGCTTCAAATTATTATTATTTTTATCACTATAATCCTTAGTTGATTTTGATGATGATAACCGATGACAGTTGTCAAAATATGTTTTAAATATGATAATTTCATACATCAAACGGTTTTTTGGATATTGATATCTCTTTTTAAGAGTTTTCCATGACAATTGACAAAGGGGAGTTGTTCCAACTGTCCAATAAGCTTTTATGACAGCATATGATCAAGAAAATACCTCAAATCTCATCGGTTAGATAAATCAAAGATTCAATTGAAGTGACACACACACACACATACAATATTTTCAAATTGTCTATGTTTTTTTAATAATTAAATCTTCTTAAAACATATCAAATCATGTATGATATTGATTAAGAAATATTTTTAATCAATTTGAAAATTTAACTCACTGTTCTAATCAATTAACAAATTGGTCCAATAAATAAAAAGCACGGGTCCAATCAATTAAGAGTAAGTATTAAATCTTCTTATTACGTTTTAGAGCTGTTAATGGATTAATTCATATGGTCACTTTAACGTTTTCTTTTATGGATTAGGATTGCCATTTTTAAGGTGTTTTAGTCGATTAAAATATTTGTTAATCGAAGTTTTGTGGGTTGATAATGTAAAAGTTCAAGCCTGATTTTAAAAGAAAGCCAAATAATGTAATAGTTTTTAATGAAGCTGAGATGACTTTTAAGAAAACTGTTAATGGTGTGCCTTTTCAAAAGATCTCTTAAGAAAAGGAAAAGAAGGAAAAAGTTCCTATTAAGGTCACTTGGAAAATAAAGTGCACAATCATGGTGAAAATCCAAATGAAGCTGTTGAAGAAGCATTGGATGCTAAAGCAAATGAGAAAAATATTGATAACTACATGCTGGCAAGAGACAGGTCAAGAAAAGTCATCAAGCCACCTTAAAGATTTGATTATGCTTACCTTATAACTTTTCCCTTAATTTCAGCAAGTGAGGTTCTCAATGAAGAACATAGAGATTACTAAGAAATAATAAGGAATCGAAATAAGAAGGAATGACTGAAAGCCATGGATGATGAGATAAAATCTCTTTATGATAACCACACCTAGAAGCTGATCGAAAAACCTATAGGAGCTACGTTAGTCATCTATAAATGGATTTTCAAAGTAAAGGAAGTAATTGAAGAAGTTTTGTTGAAAAGGTTCAAGGCGAGACTCGTTGTAAGAGGTTTCACTCAGAAGGAAGGAATGAACTTCAATGATGTATTCTTTCCTGTTGTGAAGTATAATTCCATTAGAATGCTTCTTGCCATGGTGGCTAGGTTTGACCTAGAATTGGAGCAGACAAATGTGAAGACTGCCTTTTTATATGGTGATCTAGATGAAAGGATCTTGATGAAATAACCAGAAGGATATGAAGAAAAAAGTAAGGAGGACTATGTGTACAAGCTGAACAGGTCACTGTATGGCTTGGAACAATCTCCTAGGCAATGGAGCAAGAGATTCAACAAGTTCATGACACGCATAGGTTTCATAAGGGGAAACTTTGATTAGTGTGTCTATTTTAGGTTCTCACCTGAAAATTCATTGGTCATATTATTTATATATGTAGATGATATCCTTATAACAAACAACCTCATTGAAAAAATAATGAAGCTGAAGGATGAACTCAACCAGGAATTCAAAATGAAGGACCTTGAAGCTGCAACTAGGGTTATGGGCATTGACATCAAGTGAGATAGAAAGAACTTAACATTATGTTTAACTCAAGAGTAATATCTATGAAAGATTTTCGACATGTTTGGTATGTCGAACTCAAAACCTGTTATAACACCAACAACTCAACAATTCAAGCTGAGTATAACTCAAATTTCTAGTACTGAAGTCAAAAGGATCTATATGGATAACATTACATATACTTGTATAGTGGGTTCTTTGATGTATGCTATATTCTATACCATGCCACACATAACTTATGCTGTAAGCCTTATAAGTAGGTCCTGGAAAAGCTCATCCGCAAGCTTTGAAATGGGTCCTAAGATACATAAAAGGATCTCTGAGCAGGATCTTAATTTATGGCGGATCCATAGGTCGAGATGATCTAAGAAAAATTAAAAGATTTGAGGACTCTAACTATATAGGATGTATAGATACCAAAAAATCTCTATCTGAATATATTTTCATTATGTTCCATTCCTATTTATCAAAAGTTTCAATAAGATCTAATATGTAAAGTAATAAATATATTTCTATTTTGATTGTGCAAAATAATTTTAAACATCACAATTCCTTTAGTATATTAGAGATAAATTTTTTCATAATTTTAATAATCTTATGAATCATGTTCCAAAAAGCTATTGATTAAAAGTCAAACACTTTTGATACATCAACACTTTTGAGAATCAGAGTTAAATAAATGTTGTTAACATCTGTAACAATCTTCAGGTCAAAAAAATTATTTTGATAAAATCAAAGATTGAAGAAAAAAAAATCTCTATTTTTCTAATGTTCATGTTAATGAACTAAGAGTACAATGGAATAAAATGGAGATATTAATAAACTAAGAGTACAATGAAATAAAATAGAGTACAACACATAAATAGTTTTTTAACTACTTATATATATTATTTATAATTTGACAAAATAGAATAAAACAAATTAATTAATTCCATTACATACACCCATTTTAAGATAATAAGTTCTATATTATTTACAAATCCACAAATTAAAACAATAAATTCTTATTATATGATGCTTCATTTCATTTAATTCCATCACATTTCATCAATTTAAAAATGCTATAACAAAAACCAATAATTAGTCCCGTGTTGATGATTTTGATAAGGAGAACCAAGTTTAATTTCCTGCAACTGTGATTATTTTATTTTGCAAAGATTTATGCTTAAATATATCAAAGTTAATTTTAATTTTATTTGTTTTACATAAATTTATTTCTTTATGTTATTTTCCTCTTATAAAATTTATTTATTTTATTTTCTTATTTTTCAATTATTCATATCTTTCTTTTATAGAAAAAGAGCTATTGTTTTGTCTCTTGCTCAAAACTCAGAATCTGAATGGAACCGTTGGCATCAATCTATGAACATGAAGGCGACGACATATTCACCGACGCACTTCACCACTGTTCCGTCGATTCCAAGCCGGAAACTTCCACCTCCGATTCCACGCTTTCACATTCTAAACTTATCTCCTCCGAACCTCATGATCCCCATTTCAACCTACCCTCTCCCTCTCCGGCCACCATACTTCGCCGCCGGTCAATTCGTCTCGGAAACAAACAATCTTCCGATTCCAGTACCAATACCGATTCAACCAATGTTACGAAAAGAAGCTTCGGAAACAAGCCGAAGTATAGCAATCTCAAACAAGATGAGAATTTTACCGCGAAACCCTATTCCGATGAAGCTTCCATTCTCGCAATAGAAGAGAACAACGAGGAATCCACCGTGACTACATCTACAAATGATACCAAACATGACGATTCCGTTGACTCGGCTTTGCAACTCGGTGATTCGTCTTCGAGTTTTCTCGAATTGATAGTAGGGTTAGTGATTAAGGCATTAGGGTTTCAAATCAAGTTAATCTTTATGTTTGTAACTTATCCATTGCTATTCATGTTTCGTTGTTGCTTGTTTTTCATGGATCCTTTTGGGACAACAAGAATATGCAAAAATATTTTCTTTGGGATTTTGTGCAGAGTTTGGAATGCTATGTTTGGATGCATTAAACCCTATGTTAGGAAATATTTTAAAGGGAATGAATCAATTTGGAGTGTAATGTTTAGGTTTGGATGGGGATTCTTATTGTCAATTTATGTTTGTTGTATTTTGATTGGTTTGTTAGTTTCTTCATTCGTGTTTAGCGGGTTTTTGATGAGTTGTTTTGTGGAGAAGCCGATTCAGATGAAGGAAGTATTGAATTTTGATTATACTAAGCTTAGTCCAGTAGCTTTTGTTCCTATAATATCCTGTGATGGTGTTGTTGGTGGGAAAGATTCTGAGAATAATGTTCAAGCTGGGAAGTTGACGACGATGGGTGAACGGGTTATACCTTCTAAACATAAAGTACAAGTCACGGTTTCATTGAGAGTGCCTGAGTCGGGATACAACAGAAATCTCGGAGTCTTTCAGGTGCTTGCTCATCTCTATCTGATTCGTTTCGGTGTGATATTAATTTATCTTTACTAATTGCCATGAATTTCTTTGTTCAGATTTCATTTTCTTTGTCATTATGTTGTTTTATTTCTTCAACATATTCTCTGAATTCAAAGAGCGAGTCATCAATTTAGTCTCTTCAATTGTAGGAGTAGACTGTTTGATCCTTGATATTACAGATGTTCTAAAATCAATTTCTGAAATTGAAAGTCTTCTATAACACAATTTTAGAAACTTATAACCGACCCAAAATGGCTTTTGTGATTGAAAATATTCAATTTTTTAAGATCACTCATAAACTTTAATCATTCAAAAGACTATTTTGCTCAATCCCTATAATATCGAGGACTAAAACAGTGATTCACTCACATTTAACTGTTTATGGTACAAACTGATTTATTGTGATACACATTGTCATAGTTTTAAGAATTGTATTGCTTACACACATTGATCTATAAAGGGGATACATATTTTTGTGCTCATTTTATTATTTGTCTCGGGATTGTTGAAATGGTCATTTCCTTGTAAGTTTGTATCATACTTTGATTCTTGGAGAAGTCAAACTGCAGATACTAGTTGCAGTTTAGAGTTTCATGTTTCATTGTTTTTTTTTATAGGCAAGGGTGGATTTTCTATTGTCTAGTGGTAAAAAGATTGCAAGTTTGAGTCAACCTTGCATGTTAAGATTCACAAGCGAACCTATCCGCTTAATCATGACTTTCCTCAAGATTGCTCCTCTCATTACTGGCTATACATCCGAAACCCAAATTCTGAACGTCAAGATGAGAGGTTTCATTGAAGGGAACATACCAACTTCGTGCTTGAAAGTAACACTCGAGCAACGGCCAGAGTATCAACCGGGTGCTGGCATTCCTGAAATATATGATGCATCTCTTTTTGTTGAGTCTGAACTTCCCTTTTTCAAAAGGATCATTTGGCATTGGAAGATGAGCATATTTATATGGATCGCAATGATGTCACTCTTCACCGAATTGATTTTTGTTCTAGTATTTTGTAGGCCTATAATAATTCCAAGAACAAGGCAAAGGGTAGCAGCATCTGCTCGTGGTCCTGCAACCTTGGACAGTCTTCAGGCACAAAGTTGAGACTTCTGATTTCCATGCTTTGTTGCAATGATTGAAGTACGTTATCGTTAACAGTTTAAACCTTGCTTGTTCTGAATTGTAACCTATGTAGTATAATGTTTAGTGAGTAATCCTAACATCTCATTCTTTTATTTTTCCTTCTCTTTCAAATTCCATTTGTAATCATGATGTAAAATTTTGATGCCACTTATGTATATTGTAATTATTTTGTTATAATGTCAGAAATTAAATTTTTGCTAACTTGTTGCTTGACAACGAAGAAATTATTGTAGTCTGAGAAGTGCTACAAATTGATTTAACAAATGACACGAAGGGTAGAATTATTCATATATCTGTTCAATTATCGCATTTGGTCTATAATTTAGCTGAACTTCTCAAATTTTAACACCAATATGTAAGGAAGATAAGAAAAATATGCACTTTTCGAAACTCTTGTGCTTTTTTAATATTCATTGGACAAAGCTCCTACAGATTGATGAATGGTAAGAAGAATATGCACTTTTCATGTATATGTATATAATGACAATCGTAACTAGATCAAACCTAATTCATGTTGAAATTTATGTGCACTCCTGGATTTGCTGTGGAATCATTTGACTCTGTTATCACCTGCTCCTTCTGAGAAAAGGAACAATCTTCGGGAGCTCAATTTTGGTTTGCTCATCACACATTGGCCTGTTGGTGTGCCTGATGAAATTGTAAGTCCATGTACCTGTCAAAGCTCCTAGAATGGGTGAAATCAAATATATCCATAGTCCTGTATATTCATGGTACAAAATTGCAGGTCCTAAGCTTCTCGCTGGATTCATTGATGCTCCTGTGAGTGGTCTGCAAAATATAATTTCATTCACATTTATGTTACATTTGATGTACAAACTACACTTAAACAATTTATTCACTTAGGATTTGAGATAAGTTAATACCCCGCAAACAATATATCTATTATTATTGTAGACCCAACTGCAAGCCCAGCTAATTCACGAACCTGCATAATTAAATATTATAATCATAAGTCATTAAATGTGGTTTAAAATTATTTGTATTATAAGTTTTGATGCGCATGGCATTTGGTTGCCTATTGTGATGTAAACTTCTACTATTTTGAAGAATTTTTCCAACTTTATTGCTTCTTCCAAAAGATATATCAATATATAAGTATGATCATAAATTAGTCAACTGAAGCAACCTTAAAAAATGTTTAATCAAAATGTTCAACCCCAATTTGTTAAATATATTTAATCAAAATGTTCTATTAAAAATAAGTCAATATGAACATAAAACTGTACCGCTCTGTTATCGGTTGCTACTCCAGAAATAACAAACATAAGGAAGAAAGTGCATATGAACTCGATTACGAAAGCTTGCAGGTTAGAACCAGCTGCGAGTGTTCCAATAAAATGATCTTCTTTGCCATTGAATATAAGCTTCAGAGTTCCACTAGCTAGTGTTGATCCAAGGACCTGAGCTATAATATAAGCTGGCACCTTAAACATAATCAACAATGTTAAAGCAAATTCAGACAATTAAGTGTTTTGTTTCGATATGAGTTATGTATTCCATTCAATTCACCTGTTTGAAGGGAAATATTTTAGTTGAAGCATGAGCAATGGTAACTGCAGGATTGAAATGAGCACCAGAAATATGACCAAGAGAGTAAATCAATACCATAACGGTAAATCCCCAAGTGAATGCGATTCCAGGAAGTGTCACTACACGATCATTGTTCAGGTTCACAATAACAGCAGCACAACCCGCAAATATCATTAAGTATGTTCCCACTACTTCTGCAACCAACTATATTCAACAAATATTATATGATTTAAAATAACTAATTTCAATGAGTTTTGTACAGAGAAGGAAAGAAGAGTTTAGGAGAGATACCTTCTTCAAAAGGGGCACAGAGTCTTTGATGACAGACTCTTCACAGTTTTTTGAGGCATCACTGTTTACATCTAAAACTATTTCATGAGCTTCAATGCTTTCTGAATTATCATCCACCATTGACATAAATATAAATATGCACTATATGAAGCTGAAAAATTGTGCCAGAAGAATGCTCTGCTTTTGTCAAAGAGTTATAGGGGAGAAACAACACTAATTTATAGGCACCTAAAAGTCATAGAAGAGTATGACATAGAAGAGATAAAAAAAATTGTTAAATAATTCGACTCCTTTATTAGTTATTTGGTGTATCATTTTTGGGCTATGATTTTCTATTTAACTATTTATTTTGAATAATATTTATTTTGTCCTAAAATATGTGTCACATTGGCCTGTTTTACACCAATTAAAAAATATAATAGATGAACAAAAGAGAATAATAATTTTATTAAAATATTTTTATTAGTTATTTGTGTATTCTAATTATCATAAACACAAAATACAAAGTGTGTATAATAAATTGTACTGTTTTATCTATTTAGGTTGTTTGTTTTTTGTTTTCACTATGTCATACTTAAGGATGCTCAAATAAATCGGTTATTTAAATTATTTATATTCATATTTAAATTTCGGTTACTAAAAATCAGTTAATTATTAGTATAATTTTAACCAAATCTATATTTTGGACATCTATATCCAAAATAAAAATCAAATTAGTTAACTTTTTTTATAAAAAAATTGAAAATATAATATTTTTTTTAAAAAAATTATTTTATTTATATATATATATATATATATATATATATATATATATATATATATATATATATATATATATATATATATATATATATATATATATATATATATATATATATATATATATATATATATATATATATATATATATATATATATATATATATATATATATATATATATATATATATATATATATATATATATATATATATATATATATATATATATATATATATATATATATATATATATATATATATATATATATATATATATATATATATATATATATATATATATATATATATATATATATATATATATATATATATATATATATATATATATACTTTTGTAAAACAACTACATTTTTTTCAAAATTATTTTGTAAAATATTTTAAAATTTATAAATTCATAAAAAAAATTAATAATTTTATATAATTAAAAAAAATTATTGACACTACTGAGTAAATAATTTCAGTTTTTTTAAAAGATCATGAATTCTATCAAATGAGTTAGATAGGCAAAATAAAAGTATGTATATATAATATGTAAATGGCAAAAAAATTAGCATTCATATTTTTAAAATTATACTAACTATTTTATATTAATACTTTCAATTTATTAGGTTTTAATTTTTTATATTATATAAAGTTACAAAATTTCTCTTATGATAAAATCATACATATTTTTTAAAAATTATTTATTGATATTTTTTAATTGAATATCAAATTAATATTTATTTTTATTTTATCATATTTCATTTTTTATTTTAAATTATAGTTTATAGAGATAAATATGTAAATTATTTCCTTATCCTATTCTGTCGGATTCTAACCCACCTCATATTTAGGATAAAATTTTAACTAGTGAGGCATAATGTGATATGTTTCAGGATTAACTTATCATATCCTGTCGTGTCATCAAACACTGGGTGGAGATAAGATATGATATAAATATCATATCATGACTCTTATCCTGCGTACCAAACAGACCCTTAATGGACAGGCTCCTCGTGGCTCCATCAGAGATGACCATGGCTCTGGCGAAGTATTCCCATCGGCTGGTTGGTCGGATTGGCTCGTCGATTAGGTCGGGTCCTTCGGGAAGACCGAATTCTCTGTCCGCGAACCAATCCTCAGGGCAGCTGACACACAGCGCGACCTGGAGCCTGCTGTTGACCTCCAGAGAGGGAAGTTCCTCGACTTTCTTGGCTTCTGGGGCCTCTTGCCTCGGTGGTTCGCCTCCTCGGGTGTATCTCTTCAGGTGACCGTCTTTGATCAGAATTTCGATCGCGTCCTTGAGATGGATGCAGTCTTCTGTCACGTGCCCGTGGCTCCTGTGGAATCGGCAGTATTTTGATTTGTCCACATTGGGTTTGGGGGATGTCGGTCGCGGGAAGCGGACACCTCCCTGTACGAATTCGGTTTTGGCGCATTCGACCAGTATGCGCTCGCGGGAAGCGACTAAGGTCGTGTACTCTGTGAATCGGCCGGCAGGGCCGCGCGGTTCGCGTTGTTCGCGGGGCTCGCGGGGGTGGTCTTCGCGACGGCGGTCCCCTCCCCGTCGATGGCTCAAGGCTCCGTCGTCTCGGTGCCTGCGGAGGGCCTCCCTGTCTCGGGTGTCTCGAGCGGAGTTGGCCGCTTGTGTTTCTTCGAATCGGATATAATGCGCGGCTCTGTCGAGAAAATCTTGGAGGGATGTTGGCCGGTGTATGCCTACAGCCTCGTAGAACTTGGAGTCGTGGCGTAGGCCCTGTTCCATTAAGTAGCGCTTCATCTCGTCTGACGTCGTCACCTGCACTGCTTTCCGAGTGAATCTTTCGATGTACTTTCGGAGAGGTTTGTCGGGGCCCTGGATGATTGCCCCGAGGACGGCTTCCGTCTTCGGGTGGCGTCGGGACGCCGTAAAGTGTTTGGAGAACAGGTCCTTTAAGACTCTCCACGACGTAACCGATTCGGGCTCCAGACTTTTATACCAGGTCATGGCGCCTTTCCTCAGAGTCGTCGGGAAGAGCCTGCACTTGATAGCCCCCCGGACGTTTCGGTAGTCGAGCATGGCCTCGATGTCCTCTAGGTGATCGTTCGGGTCGGATGTGCCGTCGTACGTTGACAGCGTCGGGGGCTTCTCCATCCCTTGGGGTATGGGGGCAGCCATGATTTCTCGGGACAGCGGGGTGCGGTAATCGTCCTCGTCGCTGGGTTCCGGGGACCGATGGGGAGACGAGCCGTTCAAAATAGGGCCCTGGTTTCGGGTTCTCGACCTCCTGCCTGGGTTTTCGCCTCGGGGATCCCCGGTCGGGATCGCCGCGGTGCTCTGGTTCCTCTCGCGAACTTGTCTTGCTGGGGACCTAGTGC